ATGTGTCGAACTAGGTCGCTCTGACAATATGAATTAATTTTGAAAACACGATCACACCGCTTCTATACATCGAAATGAAGTTACAACCACAACAGAGGCCACAAAATCTTGGTCTTGATTGACAAAATTTGCCTTATTTAGGTCTCTTTAAAGGTTTTTTAAATTCAAGACCACGGTTTAATTACACCTGAGACGATGGTGACTAGAGGAGAAGTTGAGCCTATAAAAAACAGAGCCTTTGGGGATGCATTTCGAATGCAAAATCGAGCCTGTAATGTATATGAATCGAGTTGAAATGTGACAAACTGTTTGCCAATTAACTGTTGAGCTTACTTCCATTTCTAGTAGAAGTGTTGTTGCGCAATCGGAGTGATGGTTATAACTTAAATGTAGAAAAGGGGAGATAGGGGTCATCAAACCTTGATGGAGGAAAACAGACGTTCCTTTTTGCTGTCCTAATTACTTTAAGCCATCACTTCGGGTTTAGAATATAAGCGAACACAAACATGAACATACAAATACAGAGACAGACACATTCACATGCATCAAAGTTGACATATGACCTTAACTAACCGAATCACTTTATACTTGATCAAAGAGGACAGATGTAGAGTACCACTTTTTAGGGATTTGCTGGTGAGTTTTCTTGACTCGTTAGCTTGAATTGTGTTGTGAGAATGATACCCTGCTCTGATGATATTCGTCACATGACGGACGAAAGCTCATCACCTTTACACCGGAATCGAAGGAGATTGCCTCGGAAACAGCGTTAGCATGAATCTTCCAGTAAAGCCAATTGACAGCTGGTCAAGAGGAATACGCGGTCGTCTTCTGATGGAACTAACCTTCGAATCTCTTCACCCAACACATCCACCCGAAATGGAAGTAAGCTCAACAATTATGAAGAAAGAGATTCTTCGAAACCCAACTTTTCTTCCTATATCTTCATCTTGACAACATGAGCTATGAGTCGCAGTTTTGTCCGTTTGCTTCTGCCTAGACGACTGACTAATTGACGCTTTACGATCCTATGCTGTATTATATGTTTCTGCTTGTGAGACCTTGGAGAGGTATCATCACATTTGCCACTATTACAAGTACTTATCCATGCAATGCTAACTGAGAACGAAAACTTCAAAGTCTATAAATAACCTACCAAGTGTATAGGATTCAATATCATGACGAGGCCTCGAATAAAATCTCGAAGCAGATAAAGTAGGTTGTATATGAAAAAATGCTGGATTTCGAAGCTTCCCTCAATGATGTATTGTGATACCACTCTTGAATTGAAAGAAAAAATTGTTTGGAATGAATTTGTGAAGTAGCCTTACTGGAAATCGAAGAAGAATTGACTTGGAATGATAAAATCCTCACAATCTTATCTCCCCGATGAATCCGTGCTAAGCGTTCGTCCGTAAGCGTTAGTATGAATTTGCCAACTAAACCATGCGATGTCAAATTAAAATCGCAAAATTAAGCATAAGAAGTAAGTATACGTGCAGCCGGCCACTTTTTAATTCGGTTTAGTATATTCGTTTAAAGTGCCTCACTTTAAACAAAATGGGGTGAATACATTTCATAAATATGATCTACTGTCAATATCAAAAACCCGTTTATAAAACGAAAAATAAGAATAATTGAACTTTTCGAAACATTCTCATCCTCGAAGGAGGCAGGATCACAGCTTCGCCAAGTCTTCCCCACACAAGACAACGGTGTACCAATTTACATTCGTATTGAATAGGTTTCGAAATTACATGAGATGTATTCACCATATGTCGTATAATGAGATGAAGGACTGATAGTTGAATTCTTCCACAATCATGCGCATAGATCTCACGACTTGAAAAATTAAAATTCACATAAATTTGCTTCCCAAAAAGTATTCGTATCCAGACGGGACTGGACTGCAAGTTCGATCTCGACTGGGTCTCATCAGCACCCCCGGCCGAATTTGGGCCCAGAAGGAGAATGTCACGTGGGAAGCAAAGCTATGTGTGAATGTCAAGCCTAATCATAGGATCGTGGGAAAATTTAACTATCACTCTTGCCCCACTATGCGGCCTGGGGTGGATACAGTTTCATTTTTTTATTAAGCTTCAAAGCAAGTGGTTGAGTTTGAACAAGAACTGAATTCATCCTCTTTGGAGGGACTTTCATTTCGTATGAAAGTGCATAAAGAAGAGATTCATAGGCCGTTCTATTCTGGTGAGATAGACCTATGAATCTTTTCTTCTGGCACTTTTATACGAAATGAAAGTCATCCCAACAATATTATCTCAGAAGATTAATCGAAACCCAGTTTCTTTTTGTATCTGAATTCACCCTATTACGTTTAAGGTGATAAAGGGCTGGTAGATAAATTTCCCAACAATCTCATCTTTCCATATTTCCCGTCAGTATAGCAATTAATCCCGAGGGTAGGCTGAGAACAAGAGAATTGGGAAGAAAAGTTGGGTTTCGAGGAATCTCTTGTTTCAGAATTGTTGGGCTTACTTCCATTTCAAGTAGAAGTGTTTGGTGAAGAGATTCGAAGGTCGGTTCCACCAGA